TTCTTTCTATTTCTGATCGATTCAAGGAAGTACGTCTGTATTAATGTATGCCATCGACTGAAGAACTACAATAGTACAGCTAATGTTTTAAATGTAGAAATAAGATGGTGGGAGTGAATTCAGCCTCATACCTGCGTAATTTACTTCGAAACCAGCCATCGCTTGTCTCCTCCTCCGGAGCAGCACTGCTACTTGGAGGGCAGATTTCAGCCAGATCCGTCAGGCTTGATCTCCCAGATGAGCAGATGTCGTCTGGCGACGACTGCGGCGATGCTGAACTGATTACTGATACATTGATCACCACCAACTTAGAAGCCGTTTATGTGATACAGGGTGTTCCCATCGTAACAGCCTTAGCAAGATGGAGGTCAACCCTTTTGTAATACTTGTTTCCATCCAGTCACAGAGCTGATGGACTAGTTTTCTGAATCATTTTAAAAAACCGCGTAATGTACACCTCGATGAGCCATTATGAGTCCAACAGAAATCGGGTGCCTGGCGTACCCAAAAAAAAAATAGTGACCTCTAATGATTTCCCCTTTGTTTCCAGAGGGAGAATACTACGCCACAACAATCATTAGAGCATAAAAACAGTAATAAAATGTTATGCGTTACCTTTCTCTCGTAAGACAGCACCATTGCAGTATTCCAACTTCGTGGGTCGACAAGCCCTTTCTAATGATCTTGCTGCGTCAAGGTTCATTTTGGTCCTATTTTTCAGACATCTGAAGGAAGTACTATTTTCAGCATCACCGAGGAAGCTTTTAATTAATGGTTTGGACCCTTCAATCATAAAGGCTTGCAAATACCAGAAAATCACCCCCTCCAAAAGCTTTCTGATCTTGAAAAAACTAACTACCCTGAAGAGAACAAACGAAACTCCTGCATTAGTTAATTCAATACTAGGTGTTTACTAACAACTCATACGAGTCAACAACAACCCAAGCACGAAAATCAAACCAATTTATTCTACAACAATGAACAATTGAACTCAAACCTGTCATACAAAACCCTATCTATCAAAGGCTCATAGAAGGTAATAGTACATAAAACAATCACAAAGTCCATCCTAGTAGTGCGCTTAAAGTGACGTCATGACCCAAATAAATATTCACCAGGATAATAAATAAGGTTCTTATGCTAAGCAAGACAAATCAACGCATATAATAGCTAACTGCATACTTCTATTAGAGAGTTGACATTCAAAGGCAAGAATATCTCATTGTGGACAAAACGTTCCAGTTTCTGACCAGGACATAGCCCATTGTTTAGCTCGGTTTCACAGAAAAACACGTCCTTCGTGACATCTTTGCCATTATAAAGGAATCGGAGGAATATTCCATCTTTCGTGGATGGGCTATCAACCAACTCATAAAACTGCAAAAAAAGTAGAGTAATGGTTATCGAATGAGTGGATCAATGAAAAGATGAAACTCTGTATACCTCAATAACTAGGCGTGATGCATAGTGTGGTGGATCTATGAATGGTACTTTTAACACTATCAGTATCGGTGCAAGAGTCACGTCATGGCCAGAGAAGATCTGAAAATTCTCACGTCTCAAGTTCACGGCACAAGTAATTGGATGTTTCCATGTGCAGAGACAATACCTGGATAGTGTTGGTATGAGGGAACCTCCGCAGATTTGCAATCGTTTCAGCTATATGGTATAAAACTCCATGAGCTTCTACTAAGTTCATCTTTTCCACAACGTAACGCGAACCTTCGTCGAACATAACCTTTTTACGGGTTGTCGTTTCATTTAAAAGCTGTAAGTGTCTTGGTAATAATTTGGATAGGCAGCCGAGGAGACATCTGTACTCACCTGGCTTAGAAATTCATAGTTCAAACAATACGACCTTCCAAAACACGGGAGTGGTTTTCGACGGCAAACGTACCTTAACATAGCTTAACATAGACAGGTGACTAAAGTGAATACATTTGCACTTTACGAAGAACACTCTTTACAACACAGTAATGTGACGAATGCTTGATAGAGCCCTGGTAGTTTTCGAACTTTATTTATAAGCGTTTTGAGTTATTTGACTCACTATTCTACTCTACTGTATGCAATAAAATTGAAGACAAATACACATTAACTATCATAACTGTACGAACACCACTCATTTTCGCTTCGTGCCGATGAGCGGCATATTTTAATCACACTGATTTTTGCATCCCTCAATGCTATGGGAAATAGCTCTAATCGAAAGGGTGTATGGCCTCACCTTCCTAGTGCAACGTCGAGTATTTGGAACGGATCCATGGCGTGTGAAAAAGCAGAGTGTGTCCTGACTAGGTCCGCCTCTTTTTGTAGGTGAACAGGCGAACGTTGAACAAAATACTCATAGCGTTCCTTAAAAATCGATTACATTGTTTCATTACACAGCCAAAGAGAAATCCCTACTTTCCTACTTTCTCGAACTGGGCTCTCCATCGTCTCGTATTGCAAGCGCAATTTCGACTTGTACATAGAAAGGTGAAATTAGACGCCTATAAAAGAAGCTTCTATGTAAGAATCCATTCCAATTCGGAGAATACTGCCGATAGAGACAATTGAATTACCTATCAGTTGGGAGAAAATGAATCATTACCTGGACGTGGATCTGTGGTACAGACGATTTACTAGGAAATAGAAAAGCAGAGGTGAAAGCAATTGCAGACTGGAAGGTGCGGTTGTATCGCGAAGATGTTACGGTGACATTAAGTCGAGAATCTGAAGAAGATATTACAGAGCTATTCACGAATTGATACGTTACAAAGCTATCACAGAATCATAATCCGACCTAATTAGGCATAGAACCAAGCAAAAGTCGAAATAACAAACTACAAGTTGAACACCTATCATATAGGAAAATCTGTTGAGCCAACGATCACCTGTGGAAAAGATGTTCGAATCCAAATACTTTTCTCGCATATACTTCCCAAACTTCACATGTTGCAGAGCACCTTCGGCAGTCATCTGACCAGCAGAACAATGCGCTCTGAATATTCTTGTATTTGATGAAGATGAACGGACCGCTTTGATAACTCTCTCGGCTTCCGCCGTGCACTCTGTTTTCATTTGAATTAGCAAGAGCAACAAAAACTTCACCGATTGTCTGATTTCGACAAGTTTCCAATTTCGACATAGTTTTGCCAGTTAGGTGGAAAAACCAACTCTTAATATTGGTAAGAGTAAGAAATTTGACTGGAACCTGCACTCACAGAGATGGGATCTTAGAAAAATTGGCGAATTTGATGTCAGTGTTCAGAAAATAGTTGAAATCGTCACTCTCCATCAACTTCTTATAGTTTTTAAAATCTTCTCGATCCTGTTCTCTGAAAGGTTCACATCCAGCCTCATCATCTTCGGTATACAACGGCGATCTGCAATCATGATGACATTTTTGAATACTTTTTTCTTGTGAAAGCAGTGGAATAAAATCAATTAAAAATTGATTAAATTTTAGGTAATCATTTTAAAATCAATCATTTAAGAGTGATTCAAACCTAAAAGGTATTTATTGAACTTACTGACACACAGAGCTATTAAACAAGCACTCAAAAAACGAATGACCCGGAAGATGTGATCCCTACCTTTCACCATGTCTGAAAACCACAGCAACTCCTCTTAAACGAAAGCGATCATCATCGATTTGTCCCTCTTCTCCGTGCCATTCTCGTTCCAAAAACTCGCACATCTCTCTCCATTCAGCAGGGATTTCTTGTTTTGGTGGAATATCCTCATTATCCTTGGCTGATGGTTCCGGTTCTGGTTCTTCTGTAAAGATACTATTAGGCTTAATAACTTGAGGTTAGAATTATCAAAATATTTCGTGGCAATTTCTTTCCAACAAGGCTTCGGCCATAGATTTCCTAGCTTACCACTGAAGGTGCAGTCAAGGCTGCTGAATAGAATGAGCCAGGTGGTTGCTATTTGTACCCACATGTAGGCGACTGCAAGGTAATCCAAATGACGCTGCAGAGGGTCAAGATATTTGAATCTGTATACGTTGAAATAGTTAAATATTCCAAAAGGAAAGAATCGGAGTTGTATTCAGACAGAGCGTTCATTGAACTTTTTCACTAAACTTTACAGCTGATTGCGGAATTAGAAGAAATGGAAGGGAAGATTAGATCAATCAAGCCGGCAACAGTGCAGAATCAAAACAAATCCAGGACGATGGACAGTTCATCAACAATCTCCTTTCACCACCCTCGGAACGAGAAAACGGTATGAGATGAGAACCGGAATCAGAATCACACAGGAAAAGAAAGTCAACCGCAATCCACCCATTGTGTACTATGGGAGCAATTCACTACTGTCCTTGTACTCATTGTCTTCACCATTTTTATGACCTGTGCCGAATACTACCCTCTTACGAACAGTCAAATGTTTAAAGCCTCCCACACATCGAGGTACTTCACGTAGACCAAAAATTGTCGAGTTAAACAACATGGCTCATCAAACGTCTTGAAAACGGCTACGACTCTGGAGTGACAGTGAAAAGAAGAAAGGAGCTCCGAGGNAAAAAAAAAACAAAACAAAAGAGCGAAATGAGGATAGATCGAAAGCGGATGAAGTGATTATGACATCCGCACCATGAAGATATGATCGCGTATATCCTACTTTGGAATAATTACTGTGCCACATCATGGTGTATGTGAGAATGGTATGGATTACACAGAACGTTAAGTGATTAGCGCATCCTTTCAGGGGCGATAGACGAACGAACAACTGTGATATGATTGATCACCTATCGGCGGATGGAGCTCCGTTTTTGACATTATTACGTGCCAATCAAACGTCTGGCTATAATCGATGAGGATGCGATCTGTTACAGTTTCTTTTCTTCACCAAGAATTTTAAACAGTACGGCGAAATAGCAAAATTCTTTTTTGATTGTTCTATAAATGATCGACTGCGGAACAAGGCCCAATTGAATAAATACCAAGTGTGAATGAAATGGAAAAAAAGAGAATAATAGTACTCAAAAGAGAAAGGAATGCTTGGATAAGGTCAAGGTCACCGGCAAATGGTCTCCTCATAGCCGAGGCACTTTTTTCTGCTTCCCAAGAACAGGTGACATTATCATCGGAACAGTGGGAAAAAGACATCTTACACGTGCCAAACCCACGCACAAACTACACTGGCATCTACTTCTTCACCCAGAAAGACCATGAAAACCCTACAGCTGTTCGTGATATACGAGCCAGCAGTATCGTGATGCCCAGAAAATATAGCTCACTATGAGCGACCATAAATTATGAACCAAAGCTCACATGTCGATATCTCACACACTATTACACCAAGCTTGGTGGTGTACAAAGAAGTCAGGTAATAAATAATGGAATAGAGTCCTTACCAGAGAAAATCCAATATGTCAGGAATACTATGACCACTGCTAGGGCGATGAGCCGAAGTGCACGTGAGGAGCGCATCTTTCCCCGTTGCTTAGGGAACATAGGAAGATACTGCTTCCTCGCATCTGATTCATCTCCCTAAAAACGAGCATTCTGTGCCCTACACACGATCACGAAACTTAACAAAAATGTTCGACAACGAGTCACGCCTTTACTCAAAAGTTTTCGTAGTCCTAAAACTTGGAAGTAGCTGATGACATTCTATGTTCTTCACTGTTCAAGATCAGTCCCAAGGTAGGATCCTTAGTCTTCGCCAACAAATAACTCTTTTGAATATCGGAATTCAATGGTTCCCCTTTGTTGTTGTATAACGCCAACTTTGAAAAAGGATAAGGCGCTGTATTTTTATTATACAACGAAGTTCTAACATGAGATTTTTTGCAAGTATGTCATGGATTCAAAATCGAAGTTACCAATGGAATCCCTATCAACCTCATACGGTTTATCCGATCAATAACCTAACCTACGAACAACTATTCTTTCCTGCTCCTGCTCAGCCACACTAGCGCTGAAAAAACAAAGGAAGTACGTTAAATTAATAATTGAAATGAAGAGATAAACGCGAAATGGCTACTATCGTACCTTTCGCGTCATGTACATGGTCATTTCTATTCTCTACTACCGTAACTGCTACATACGAGGTGATCTAAAACGGATCAAACATCGGCAGTTCAAAACAAAAATGTTGTTTGTCATGGTTCAAGCTGCTCTAGCTCTAGCTCGATCTATATAAGCTTTTGGCTACTTGTACCGCTACAAATTAAGCTGATCGCTGCAATTTCAGCTGGTTCAGACAGAAGGTGCTCCTAGGTGGAAATGAACGAGAACCGACAGATGAGTTAGTCTCTGAATCTACAATACGAACCTTCTACAAACGAGATACAGCGCTGTGAATGACAGATGTGGTAAAACCGCTGAAGAATGTTTTCAAATTTTATTAATCATTTGCAAAGGGAACGTAAAAAAACCACTAATGAATGATTAATCACAATGCAAAATCAACGAGATCAAAAACAAACAGTTCGAGCAAGTGATGTGAAAGTGAATAGAGATGATCACGTGAGATCGGTTCATACACCAACAGAAGAAACGGCAAGAAAAAACAAATTCATGAAATGTTAGTTTCACAATCATTTGTGAGCATAAGCTGAAAGACGCCACTGGCTGTTGTTGATATTATCAACGAAAACCAGCACCTCCTTTTGCGTAAGCTTTTCCATTGTAAACTGTGAAATGACCCTAACATCTACTATAAAGATAAATTGACTAGAGATTAAAATTGATTAGTGCTAAAAAAGGAAGAATTACACCGCCGGGACCAACAAAGAAGAGCTTAACAAAATAATGAATCAAAACTGATGATTAACGTCTTGCTAATAGAGAGAGGAAAATCGGGAGCCTAGACCACAAATGATCTTCTACAGCGTATGACGCGCTAAGTATGTGTGTTGGTTTGTCGGTGGTTGTGGATGTTTGTGTGTTCGATGTGCGGCCGTCCGACCAACAGCGGACCCAAAGCGTTCAGATTTTGTAAAACTACAGGCGCGAGATGGAACGCTGATGTTTGGTGGGAAGACTGAACACCGCCTTCGGGGATCGGGCGTTCAAATTTTTAAGCGATACAGGCGGCAGGATAAAAACACTGATGGTAGGTGGCCGGACTAAGGGCGGAACAAGCCCAAAATGAGTGAAACTTGGTAAACTTCTGAACACACCTAATTCGAGCTTCGTTCATGGTGGTAGAAGCGCTCAACAAGTGTGTTAGGGTGTAAGGGTGTGTTTCGGCGGGATTTCACAACTCTGGAAAAGATGCTAGCGGCTGGCTAACTTTATCGCAAAAAAGGAAAGAGGCCGCCATCAGTTGCGCGATCCGACTGGTAGTGAAAGTAATCCTACCATACAACGGCGCTAATTGTGTTTGTTGGTTTGTCAGTGTGTGTATGAATG